CCACAGCTGCTCCAACAACAACAATAGCTGTATCAACAACAACCACAGCTGCACCAACAACCACGACTGGACCAACAACAACCAGAGCAGGTCCTTCAACATCCACCGCTACACTAGCAACAACTACCGTGGCTCCAACTGCAACCACAACTGTACCCACAACAACTACAGCTGAAACAACAATAACTACAGCTGCTCCAACAACTACCCCTGAAATAACAACAACCACACCTGCACCAATAAGAACCACAGCTGCCTCAACAACAACTTCATCACCACCAACAACAACCACAGCTTCTCTAACAACAACCACAGCGGCCCCAACAACTTCATCTGAACCAACAACAACCACAGCTTCTCTAACAACAACCACAGCGGCTCCAACAACAACCACATCTGCTCCAACCACAACCACAGCTGTACCAACAACAACCACAACTGCTTCAACAACAACCACGACTGGACCAACAACAACCACAGCGGCTCCTTCAACAACCACAGCTACACCAGCGACAACTACAGTGGCTCCAACTGCAACCACAACTGTACCCACAACAACCACAGCTGCACCAATAAGAACCACAGCTTCTCTAACAACAACCACAGTGTCTCCAACAACAACCACAGCTGCTTCAACAACAACTACAGCTGTACCAACAACAACCACAGCTGGTCCAACAACTACACCTCCACTAACAACAACCACAGCGCCTTCTACGATTACCACTGCGTCGACCACATCTATATCTGCACCGACAGCAATCACCGGTGCACAAACAACAACCACAGAATCTCCGACAACAGCTGCACCAACATCCACAGCCACCCCAACAACCACATCAGCTCCAACTACAAAAACGGCAGCTCCAATAACAACAGTGGCACCAACAACCACAGCTGCTCCAGCAAAAACCACATTGCCTCCAACAACAACCGCATCTGCACTAACAACCACTACAGTGGCTCCAACAACAACCACAGAGGCTCTAACCACAAACACAGTCACTACTGCTTCCAATGCACCAACCACCACGGTTTCCACAACTACTGCTTCTGGACCAACCAACATTGCTGCCACTACTGAAATCACTGCACCATCAGTTGGTACTGACACAATTGCCCCCCCTACACAATCCACAGCTACTGCAGCCAGTACACCCACTACAACTACTGCTGCAACTACAACAACCACAGTTTCAACAGCTACAACCACCACAACCTCCAATGCAGTTCACAACAAATCAAGTGTCTTCTTGCTCATAGCTTTTTTTTCAGTACTTATGTTGAATTAAAACAGGACTCATGCTTG